ATGTGATGAGCATACTTGATAATCGAGCAGCTACATACATCAAGCTGGCCCAGTATGATCGAGCTCTGACCGATTCTCGAAACATGGTTCGGAAGGACACCAAGGATGGACGGGTATGCTCTGCCTCGTATCGCATTGAAATTGCTGCCACAAAATGCTAAGTCTGAGCTTCTGAAGGGTATCTTACGCTATGGGCAAGTCTTACTCTTGACTGGCGATCGCGCCAAGGCCTTGAAAGCATACGGTTACGGGCTGAAGTCCCTGGGCAGTGATAACCCGCGTCGCAAGGTACGTCAGTATCCTGCCGTAGAAAGTAGTCTGCCTCTGGGGATGATGTGTACTGAAATGATTTAGCTTGTTCTCCAAATGTACTGCAAAGTGCGTGATGCGGTTTCAGTCAAACGCCTTGACCCTTTCAGTGTCCTGCCGCTTGAGGTAGCCATGATGGTCCTTCGACACCTGACTTTTCGGGAAATTGTGTAAGTGCAGTCCAACTGTGCATTTATCATTGTTATCACTGACAATCAATGCTTGAAGGACTTGTACTCGCGTGTCCAAGGGATGGCAGCAGTTTCTGTCAATGCGAGATTTGTGGATACGTCTTGATCTTAGCGAAGCCCGTCGCAAAGTGTCATCGCGCTCCATCCGAACATACATTCAGCGTTCGCGTGCCATGCTTACCCATGCAATGGTGACCAACATAGCGACTACTTCTCATGAAAAAGTGCTTGAATATTTCAGTAGATGTCCAAAGCTGGAGAGTCTGGAAATTGGCGATCCTATCCAGCGCCATGGCGGGCTATACAACCAGTTTAAGAGCTGCAAACAAATGAAGAGTCTCGTCATCGCTAAAGGAACACCGGTATCACAAGAGAACATCGCCAAGTTCTTGACGAGCCTCACCAATCTCGAGCGCCTAGAGATTCATAATGCGCAGCCTTCACCTGAGACCAAAGTCCGCTGGCCCTCACATCTCCCAAACCTACGGAGCATTACCCTCTCTACTGAAGAAGCAGCTGTGCCACCACCAGGTCGCGTAGCCGCTCTCTATCTCCCGGCTGCAACGGTATGTATTGCGCAGTCGCATAGTTCCTGCCTATTAAGTTTCTAGCATTGAACCAGGCTAACACTGACAGGCGTCGCAATCCTGCGTAATGCCTAACCTCGAAGAAGTCCGAATCGACTCGTACCCCAGAATCTGGTCACCATACACGCTATCATTCGACCCTAACCAATTCCCAAAACTACGAAAATTAGAACTCAAAGGCGTCTTCATCGGAAACTTCGCATTACCTCCTACCCTCGAGCACCTCAGCATCCACGCCGGAACCTGCCCAGTTGGCCAAGAGTTTCCTTTCCCCTTCGACCAGTCTCCACACCTCCGCCACCTGCACACCCTCATCCTCCGCGACCTCAACTGGGTCACTCACGACACCCTCCACAACTTCCTCGTCACAGCCGAGGCGCCAATCCGGAAGCTCGTCGTGGCCAGTTGCTCGAAGCTCGATCATTCGCAGCTCGAGCGCATTCTCACTGAACATCCCGTGGACCTGACCGAGCTCGGGATTTGTGCTCTGCGCGGCGTCACTGACATGAGCGTAAGGGCGCTGGTCCGGCATCTGCCGCACCTGTACGCTTTGGACGTCTCGGCTACCGATGTCACCGGGCGTCTGGTCAGGACATTCGCTGATGCGCCGTCGTCCTCCGACGATTTGCCGCGACTGAAATACCTCAATGTTGCGCATTGCGAACATGTCTTGTATGAAGCAGTTGCGTATGGTCGCTCGCGCAATATCAATGTCATTACGCGCTGAGCCAGTTACGAAGATCAAATGCCAGACAAGAACTTCTGGCTCAGTTCCTTGACCTCGACAAACGTCCGTCCTTCTACTGTAACGACTTGTCTTCTGCTATTGGTCGTTAGCTTGGCTTGTGTGGCTCTCTTGGTCAACAGATTCACCAAACATTATTTGAGTTGGACAAAAGACGCACTGCCTAGAGCTTCTTTCACAATAACTCGATCAGCACCCGCACAATAGCCAGGAGCACAATACACCACTATCACTGCCTCACCAAATCACCAGGAAGGTGGATAGCTCAGAAAGATTTGGAAAACAATCCTGAATCTCTAGCGGCCACGATCCCGATTCCAAGCAAATGCGACCATATTCTGTGACTGTGTCTATTGAAGACTATTCTAAGTCAACCTCAATTGTTGTTTGAGTTCGCGTCCCAGGAAGGAGACCAATCAAAATCATCTACACACCACAGCCAAATGAAATCTATGCCCAAAAACTTGATGAGTTTACGTATATCCTGTAGATCTCTATGCAATTCTAGAGCTATGAATTTCCCCCGAACCTAAACCCTAATCTTTTAAGCATCCCACCAACCCTCCAGATATGTCCGCAAGTCAATCGTATCCGGCCTGTTCAGATGCGGCGTCAAGTCGGCCCCCGTCTCGAGCTCCCTCTGCGTCCAACCATTCCCAAAGTACGCGAACCGATTCCCACTCGGATTGGTATAGGTGTACTCCCAATCCTCCCACCGAGGATCCCGCCGCAGGTAGTTCAGATGCGACGCGCTGCCGGGAAACAGGCCATGGATGCGGCCCCCGGGCCTCCCGCCGTTATACCACGAGCGACAGTTCTTCTGCCCGGGGGTCGAGTCGTCGTTGCCCGTCCACACCGTGCGGGGGTAGAAGGTATCGCAGTACTCGACAAAGTCGTCCGTCGCCGCCTTGGACGGCGCCAGGGCCTTGATGCCCTGCGCGCGGAGCTTACGCAGCAGCTTGGCGATGTACGTGATCTGGTTCTCCAGGCAGTTCGGCACACTGCCCCCCTGGCCGGTGGAATGGGGCCCGCCGATCCACAGCAGGTTCGGGAACCCCGGGGTGGCCATGCCGAGGTAGTTGTAGGGGAAGCCGTACAGGCCGTCGTGCGTCCACGCTTCCTTCAGGTCGACGCCGTTGGCGATGATCGAGAACGGGGGCGCGTGGTCCACGTTCGCACCCGTCGCGCAGATGACGATGTCCACGGGCCGCTCGACCCCGTCGGTGGTGACGATCCCCGTCGGCGTGAACCGCTGGATGGGCGTCTGGATGTAGCTGACGTTCTCTTGGCCCAGGGCCTCGAGGTAGCCTGGTCCCGGCGTGGGGCGCCGGCAGTTGGGCGGGAAATCGGGGATGATCTTGTCGGCTAGGGTGGAGTCCTTCCCGATGCGCGAGAGCATCAACCTGGTCCATTTCTCGCGGAGCTCCTGGTTTTCGGGGGTGTTCTTGAACACTGCGCCGAAGCGGGAGAAGTAGCCTTCTTCCACGCTCTTGCGGTATCGGAGATAGGTGTCTGGGTCCTTGAACGATTCCAGCTGTTCTTTGGAGAAGAGGTTGGGTTCGAGGCGACGAACCCCTATCGTGCCGAAGGAGTCGGCGACCCATGTGCGATTGCGCGCATAGTGGTCTACATGTTGTGCGATGGGTTGGATGGAGGGTAGGACTTGCAGGCCTGAGGCTCCGTTTCCGATCAGAGCAACTCGCTTTCCCTGTAGATCAACCTCGTGGTTCCAGTTTGAGGAGTGGAAGAGGGTGCCTTCGTATGAGTCGATGCCCTCGTAGTCGGGCAGCTTCCACGCGTTGAAGTGGCCGATGGCGTTGATCAGCACGTCGAGCTCTTCTTCGTAGCGCTACCAGCGGCATTAGAATCTGCTTTTTCGCAATGGAAAGTTGCTGGAGCATACCCCAGGTGTCTGCTGGTCCTTGAGATCTTGAATCGTCACCAGCCATTTCCCCTTCTCGGGCTGCCAGACCGCACGCTCGATCTTCTGCTGCAGACGCAGATACTTGTAGACATCATATTTCCTCGCGAGCCCTTGCCAATACGATCTGATCTCCGCTCCTTGTGCAAACTCCTCCGTCCATTGTGTGTTCGGAGAAAAGCCGGACTGATATACGTGCGCGGGAATATCGCAACGAACCCCGGGATATGTATTCTCGAACCTAATCTATTAGCAACAAAAATCGAGAAGTAGTGACCTTTGGGAAAGCCTACCATGTACCTCCCTGTTGACCGATGGCGTTATTAAACTTTCCGGATTCGTTGGTAGGAAAGGCGACTTACCACATCAGCATTCTTCTCATAGATCCGCAAATCGACTCCGGGGACCTTCGCTGGAAAAAGAATCCCTGCTGTGATTCCAGCAAGACCAGCGCCAATAACGCCAACCTTGATCGGTCGGACTTGGTCGATTGGATGCTCATCTATCTCGAAAGCTGGGCGTTGGAGATCGTCGGACTTGGTGGTTTCGACAGCTTGGGTGACAGCTTCCTTCGCTGGCAGAGCGCCATTCTGGCCATTCAATATCGGTAGTTCCGTATGAACGGCTTGTGGACCTTTGACTGCTGCCATAGTTCTATAGGTTCTCAAGGTGCAAGTGGCAGTTGGGGGGCTTCACTGTGGTCGACCCCTCCATTGATATAATGATCTCGTGGAGCAGGAGGGGAAGGAGGAGGGGTAAAGCCGGCGGTGGACCATGGATACCGCCGCGGCTACCTCAATCTGCACGCCATTCGCACCATTTCTGAGGTCACGTAGATTACCTGCAGGCCGGCCATTCAACTTCAATACTGTCCCGGGATCGCATCATCGCAGATAGTGATGGTGTGATGTCGAGACCGATGCGGCGACAGACTTGATAATTAGAAGAGCGCAAGAACAAGGGTAGGCATTGGCATTTCAGTCAGATGTAGAATCGAAGCACACCTTCTGGGAGACCATGTACTGTACTTGGAAGAGATAAAAAAACTAGGATCGATGTCGGCGTCGATGTATACAAGGGAAAGGAGTGTTGCAAACGCTGCAAACCCCCAAGTACCGCGGCCCCCAAATGTAGCAGCACCAGGCAGCAAGGCATTAATCGCGTTTCTTTCTCTAACTAATTAATATATACAAATTCATACATTTCAGACCACAAGATCGACCACCTCCCCAGAATTGAGCTGCACACTAATTAGCCCCACGGCGGGTTTTCCTCTTCTTAGTGGTCTGAGCCTTATCAGCCACCTGCTCCGGATCCACAGCACGTGCTTTGCGCGCACCCCGTTTGGTGCCCGCTTCTTTGGCAGACGAGAGCTGGTTCTCGGGCGAGACATCAGCAGTGGGAGCAGCCTCCCCGTCCGAGGGGTGGGGTGCTGCTGCAGTCCCAGCCTGCTGTTGAAGACGACGGAAAGCCTTCTCCATTCGACTCTGGCCGCCGGTACGGACACGAGGAGCGAATGCGCCCGCACCCTGGGGTCCTGTAAAGAAATTGGTGATATTTGACTGAGTGCCTTCTTGCTCTCTGCGGTTCATATCACGGATAACAGGCACAAGAATCTCGTCGGTCCGCTCTTGGCCCCAGCCAACCGTCGACATCAAAAAGTTGCGTAGACCATGCAGGTCAGGCACGCCCCATTGGAAAGGCGAAGGGTCGGAGTCCACCTCAGGCTCGAGATAAGCAATGTCCACCCGGTGATCAGGAAAGGATGGCGGCAAGAATATCTTTGAAGCTTGCTTCTTGAAACGTTTGAAAAAGGCAGCATGCTCGCTGTCACTCATACTGACCCCTGTCTGCACTCGTGTCCACCATTCGTTGAACTCTTCCAAGTCGGCAAATTCTGTAAGAATTTCCAATGCAGTCACAGGGCCAATCCCGGGAATACCTTCCGTATAATCGCTGCCCAATAGATGGGCAAGTCTGATCAGCTTGGTGCGATGGAGGGCGTATTCCTTCTCCAGATCGGAAGACAAGTAGCATTCAACGAACTTGCCCTGGTTGAACATATTCTTGTATATCCGTGTGCCGCCAAAGAGGAAGCAATCGCTATCATCAGTGATTATGCCGTCAACGAGCCCTAAAGAAACCAATTCCGCACACTGGGCCTCAGCTTCCATGGGCGCGGTAATGTACGGCAAGCCAAAGAGCGACAGCAGCTGCTGGCACTCCGTGATCATGACTTGCGACACCTCATCGGCATCTCGGCGATCCTTCTTCTGCTGAAACCGCAATTGCTTAAGCTCCTGCTCATAGTCGAATCCACTAGCGGTGTTCGTCTCAGAGTTGAGGGCGGCAGCAAATCGGACATGTTCTTCGCCTTCAGCTGCAAGCTGCTGCATTAAATCCTCGTCTTCAGGATCAGAATAGTCTTCCTGCTCGATGCTGTCTCCAGTGTCAACAAGCTCAAAAACTGGTGCATCTTCTGCGACAAACTTGGTGTTATCTGCTATGCCTCCAGTTGCTGTCACAACGTTCTCGAAATCATCTTGCGCTCCAGGCATAGCATCGTCAGGCCTGCCAATATGCGGTATGGCGACATCCTCGAACTCAGGAGTGGGAGACGATTCGGACCGTGCAATGTCGTAGTTTTCAGTAGTGTTGGCTATGTCGCCATTGGATAAAGTTGGTTCAAGTTCATTGACCGGTTCAGACTCCTTTGGAATGTCATTAGAGTATGTCTCGGGTGGAGAATGTTCACTAGACTTTTCAGAGACGGGTACCTCCACAGTAGTTAGTGTGGTGTGTATCGTCGGAGCATTAGTCGGAGTAGGTAAGCTCTCTTCTTCCCCTTCAGACTCGGAATCAACATTGATGACCTCTTTTCTACCCGCGGGTTCACGCCGAGTGTATTTGTGATTTGCTGCCTCATCCCGTACGAAAAGTGTGTCCGAGTCGTGCTTCTCACCACGAGTTTCCCTAGCTGGTCGAGATTCAACCTCGTCGGCGATGAACTCGGCATTATGAGTATCACGGGATGCCGCTGAGAACCACGGGGGCAGAGGCAAAGCCTCCTTCTTGGGCTTTGTCGCTTCCCCTTCATCCTTAGCTTGGTCTTTCTCGGTTTCCTGCTCTTTTCGTGGCTCATTGACCTTGCTTGGCTTCATGAGCTGCATTGACTCAAAAGGCAAAGGACCGTCAAATGGATTGTCCACACGAGTAGCAGGGGCGGTCTTTTGTGTCCTCTTAGTCTGAGCTAGAGCAGCCGCAAAGTCAAAGTCATCTTCACTTTCATCCATGAAATCCGCGGGCTCATCCCTTGGCTGGGGTAAGGAAGCTTCGCTTCGATTCAATTGGATTTCTGGCATGTCTTTGTCGTCTTGGCCGTGGGCCGGGGTTTCCAGAGACATTTGTATAGCGCGCTGGAGCTCCTCATCATTATCTTCAAGACCGTCAAACATATCGTCGCCGTTAGTGAGATCATTACTTGGGAAGCTCGTACGTGGGTCGTTGCGAACGAATAAAGAGTCATCGTCCACAATATCCGAGGGCCTCCTGCCCTCCACATCACCACGCATCTGGTTCATGATCGATTCGTCGAAAGCGCCTTCTCGCAGGAAAGGAAGCTTAGGGAGTCGGTTGAGGCCCTCGATTGGGACATCTTCAAAGCCGCCATCGCTGTCATCTGAAAACTCCTCCTTCGGAGCTACCACCTGATGCTGGCCGTACTCGTCAACATCGATTGGCCTGTCCTCCTGGCCTTCCTTATTCCCCACCACACCTAACACCCAGCCCCCCTCGATGGTATTGTCCTTGACTAGGACATACTCCTTTCCTCTTTCACCAGCTATTCTCTGCCCAGATTTGTAAAATGCCTCCTCCCCATTCATGCCGTTGATATTCATTAAGCGTTGCGTAAGATCGTTTCGTTCCTTGACACGCTCGATCTGAAACTTCGAAAAGGCCATACGGTCAGGAAACATGGTGTCTAGTTGCTCCTTCGAGTAACCCATACGCAGGCGACTTCTGAGTCGGGCCGCATTAAGGATATTGTACCGATCCGTAGCCGGGAGGCTGACGAAGAATGGACTATCGAAGTCTATCTTGGAGAAGTCATATAGATTGATATCCTCACCTTGGTGGAATTGCCGGGCATACTCCTCGAGTTCTTCTCGAGACATGATGCGGGGATCGTTGGGCGCTCCCATCTCCGCGAGGGAGACTTGCAAGTCGGGTAAATGGTAGGCATCCTTCTTCCTGAAGGAGCGCGTCTGGTTCTTTTCCTTTTCTGTCATAAAGGCATCGTCAACATACACAGGGTTATCTGGCACTGCCTCCTCCCGGTCCGCGACTCGTTTCTGGCGGCTCGCTGCTGCCGCTTCTTCGGCCGATCTCTGCAACTGCACTGCCAGCAGTTTCCCTGCCGTTCGGACTGCATCTTCGCGGCGGCCCTCCCGGCGTTTCTTCCGATTGTTGATGGTCTGTCGCTTGAGGATTGGTGCGCCGCCGTCGAAGACGAACACCGGTTTGATCCCGAAGTACAGCAACTTGCATATCCGGCGGAAGAAGCCAACGATGTGCGAGTTGCGCAGAGCGTTTCCCTCCTTGTCGCGGACGGCCTTCAAGAACTGGTAGATCCAGATAGATGCATCCACTGCAAGACGCTTCTTGTTGAGCGTTTCTAACTTGATGGGCCTTGCGCAAGGCTGCACGACTGTCCACAGTCCATGAACACCCATGCTGCCGGGTCGATTCCCGGATTAAAGCGAGGGTCAACCGCAACGACTGAGCATTTGGACGGCACGAGAGCAATTCAAACTGAATCCGACCGCGAGACCGACCTTACCGACCAGATTGAATCACCGTAAGGTATTTGACAAGAAAAGAGGGATGCTTCTCGCGAGAGGGTCCCCCGCGACGCCACCCTCGCAGGCAGACAGCGCGCGCGATCACGTGGGCTTAATTACTTCCAATGACGGCATCGATCATGTGACCGACTAGTGTGGCCCATGCCAGTCACGTGACTGTTTGGAACGGCTACTGCGTTGATGCCTTGGTGCCTGTCAAACTCGGCATTTACAGCCGGACGTCGTGTTTCCCTCCGTTCCCTTTGTTCATCTTCCCTCTTGCATTCTCGGGGCTATTGTTCGCCTATTCACTCTACCTCCAGACGAACAGTCTGTGCAATTGAGGACTGTCCGGACTCAAACTCTCATGTGGACTTGTTGACATCGTGGTTGATCCGGGTTCCATCTTCAATCAAACTTTCCTCATTCCGATCCGAGCACTGATCGGGTTTATTATGGCCCCCATCAACTTGCTCACTCGTCTCCGGACGCTTTACTCCAAGGATTACGGTAGGCTCTTTACATTATCGCTTCTCGGACTGAGTGCTAACACCTTATGCAGATGAACCAGCTATCTCAACGGCAGCAGCAGCTTTCTTCTCGGTAAGCGATCCAGATAGCTCGTTGAAGTAGATAGCGATGAGATCGCAAGGTCAACTTTGACTAAGATGCGGATTTCAGGTCTTCCTGACTCTTCTTTACGTGATTCCATTCTACGTGAATGTCACCACCCGGCCGTCCCCCACTCTGAGTCGCGATGCACCGTCAGTGATTCGGGCGAGAATCCGCAGCGTGACTCTCTCATGCATCGCGAGCACTCTCATCGTCGCCTGGCTGATCATCGGCAAAGACGACGGGTCTCTGACGGAGGCCCTCAAACTCCTGGGGTGGTGGCCCGTCAGCTTTGCCGACATCTTCCGCAGCCTGCTGCTGACAGCCATCCTCTTCGCGGGGCCTTTGTTCGAAAGAGGCATCGCCGAGGGGGAATGGCGGGACTGGATCCAGGGTAGCCGGATCAGCGCTTCCCTGCGCAGCTGGATCGGCTGGAGAAACTACGTGGCGGTAGGTTTGAGCTCTCATTCGAAACACCCAACAGCGTGACTAATCATTGAAAAACAAAAACCAAAATTACAGGGTCCAATCACCGAGGAAATCATGTTCCGCTCAGCGATTGTCCCGCTGCATCTGCTGGCCAAGGTGTCTTCGGGCCACATTGTCTTCGTAGCACCCTTGTACTTTGGCATTGCGCACGTGCACCACTTCTACGAGTTCCGCCTCACGCATCCCGACACCTCGGTGGTCGCAGCGTTACTGCGCTCCATTTTCCAGTTCGGCTACACCACCATCTTCGGATGGTATGCCACTTTCCTCTACCTGCGCACCGGTTCGCTCCCGGCGGTCATTCTCGCGCATACCTTCTGCAACTGGTGCGGACTGCCCCGGTTGTGGGGGCGGGTCGAGGCAGGCGTACCCATCGGGCCCCCATTGGCCAAGGGGAAGGGTGGCAGCTCGGATGAGACGGGATATAGGCAGTTGGGCATGGGCTGGACGGTTGCCTACTATGTCCTGCTCGTCGGGGGCGCGCTGGGGTTCTACTATGCACTGTGGCCTTTGTCGGAGTCCTTGAATGCTCTGGCCTCTTTCTCAAGTCCGCATAAGAGGACATAATCAATGGTAGGGAAGGTTGTGAAGCATTCAGCAATGACGTTTGCGTCTGGATTCGATGGACGAGGACGAGCCATGTTTTATACATATATAATATATTTCAATGCAGCCTGAATTAGGTAGGACATATCTTGAGGTTTAGTTTCATGATTAGGGAGATCAACACCTCTTGTTCCATACTAGCTCCTAATACAACGTATTCATATTAACAGGTTGACTTGATTCTAGATAGTTGTGTTGAAAGTACCCCTCCCTGCTTGCTGCCCAGCACACTCTGCAGAAGCAAACATTTGGATTCGAACGCGGGGTATCAGCCCAGGCCCGGCACAGACTTCTGCATGTACTGTTCAGATGTCGCGCCGGGAAGTTGAACACGCATGTGCACGTGCACGTGCACTAGTTCACATAAGCAACCCTTAGTTAGCATGACATTTTGATTACATAGAGACACGTCAAATATCCTTGGTCAGTATCGAAGCATGTCAATCCCATCTGGAGTACAGTATCTTCTCAAGTATGGACTAGCTTCTGAAGTACGCAGTAGCTTCTCGAGTGGGCCTTGAACCCAGTATAATACCCTGTTGCACCAGCGTTGACGTCAAGCATTCCAAGCGACAAGATATCCAGCAAACCCACTGAACCTTCAAGCTCTAGTATGAAGTGAATCTCCACCCGCAACAGAAATCTACGATTAACTTAATCACCTGGGCCAACAGCCAGGGACAAGGGCTCGCACAGTGGCAAGAAACCCACGACCCACGATCACCAACTCGAATTGACTCCAGATCGCCAACTCAATTGACCCATGAGCTGAGCTGGGGCGACGTGAGCACACCCCGTAGAAAATAGCCCCTCCATAGCACCCTCCACCGAGATAGAAAACTGTACAACAACATTTACTTCACATAACAAAACATACCAGCTACCTCCCTCGATTCTCAAAGCATCACACCCCCCACAAGAACAACAGCCCCAACCACCCCCGCCACCCCCGCACTCCGCACCCGGAACCCAGCCGCCGCATCGTTCCCCCTCACCACCCCAGTAGTGGTAGCATTCGCGGCAGCAGCCGCAGAACCCATGGCACCGGAACGCGAAGTCAGCGCGGTCGAGGCCGAGTCGCGTGCGGAGTCGCTGGCCGAAGGGCCGGTTATCTGAGCCGCTGCAGCGTCGGTAGCAGTAGCCGACGACGACGACGACGACGAAGAAGCAGAAGCGTACACACTTCCACCCGCACCCGCAGTAGCCGTGATTGCACTGGTCTCGCTTGTAGCTTCAGCAGCACCAGAGGTAGTCGTGGTCGTGGTCTCAATCAGGCGGCCGTTTGGACCCCAGCCGGGGAGATAATGCGTCGGCACGGGCTCTGTACCTGAGTAGAGTGGACACCCTGGGACGGTGGTTTTGGGAGGCGCGCGACCGCCGCCGCAGTCGATGAGCTCGCAGAGTTCGCCGGTGTCGGGGATGTAGAAGATCCGAGTGAAGATGCCGCCCACGTAGGTGGTGGAGGAGGTGCAGGGGGGTCCGATGTCTGTTTTGGCGACGACGAGGGTGAGGCCTAGGAAAAAGGAGATGGTGGTGGTGAGGAGCTTCATGGCTGTTACTGTGGTTTCTTGTGGGTGGCGGTGGTGGTGGTGGTGGTGGTGGGAAATGAGGGACTGTGGTGAGGAATCGAACGAGGGAGGAAGGGATAGATAGGTGAGAAAGAACGACACTCGGGAGGTGGAAACAGGAGTTGAAAGGAAATAAGCGAAGTTATATACGAGTCATATACAAAGTTAGCGTTGGAAGATACGCTTGGCAGGGAGTGGATTTGCTGCTCTGACTGGTGGGACTCCCTCCACTGCGTCCCTGATTCTAGCGCCACATCCCCATTTTTTGTCCAGGGGTTCGAGACCCTCAATTTCGACAAAATCAAATCGTGCTGGCCGGACTAGATTGCAGGCCAGTGGGTCTGAGAGATGCCTGTGCTGCTGGCGGAGGCTTACTTGCGAGTGAACTTGGTGAATGATGGATGCAGGAAAGAGGAAGGCGCCTGCGGAGCACCCGGTGGATTATCTTTGCAATCAATACTAACTCTCTTCTTAATTAATTAAGGTAATAACTAGTGCTCTACTTGATTCCTTCCCCGATAAACACTTTATAGTTCTGTTTGGCTGTCTCCTCGAGCATCATTACAGGCGTGTGTTCAGCTATGTTTCCGAGTATCGTCACAAACATCTTTGCCTGCGTTTTTGCAGGCAGCCTTGCAAAAGCCCCGTGTAGTCAAACCCTTTGGTCAGGAAATAAACCCAATGCCTGTCAATGACCGAGAATTTACATCACCCTCTCTCATCTCCCATCCTCAGTGAGAGAGAAAAGATGTCAGTGGCAGCTGATCTAGGGAGTCCGAATCTGCATCACGATTCCGGTTTTGAATTGGCCCCCTTGTCGACTCTCTTGCCTAGCACACTGTAAGATTTGATCCCACCCAGTACAATCTCTCAAGGGCCTCCTGTGCAAGTTCGAAACTCTGCTCATCCACATGCAAGGCGATGGAACATAGTCCCGCATCACGTCTCATTCGCTTGACTCAGAGATCAGACTGCGTAATTCTTCTTTCGCCACAGCATTTCGAGTACTCTTCAGCGATCAGCAATGTTCTCTGTTGTTGTCCCTGGGACTGTATTTCCGGGCTCATCCTGATTGGTGGATTCGATACTGCGATGCCATCACCTTCTGTAGGGCGCATTGAACTGAACTCAAGCAACAACCGTACCATGGGCAGGCCCAGAAGAGAGAGAAGATGCATCGCGATGCTGCTTCTTGTTGCTTTGTCGCTTTCCTCTTGAGACGAGAGACGTAGCTAAAGATATTCGACTGATGAGAGACTTCATGATCGAAGGCAGATCTTCAGGTGTCTCTCTCGAGTTAGTCTCATTTTCCCAGGGCCCGTATAGCCCTAGTTAGAATGATTGATCGTATGTCCATTCAAAGCTGAATATCATACTCTTCTCATAGATTCCCGTGCTCTTACCTCACGGGCGTAGACGCTCCGTGGGTCGGGTGATTCGACCTACCCCCGTTACCTTCCAGAGTGACGAGTTCAAACTATGTAGGAGAGTGTACACTCACAGATCTTTCTGTCCTGGCAAAGTTAGACATTGACTCAGCGGAATTTTGCTCAGGGCTGCCTACCTCACACTGAAAGCATAGCTGATGCATAAAAGAACACCTTCCTCGCCCACTCCTTCCTCCTTTCACCAACTTCGTGCCACGCTTCTTGCTCGTAGCTATCACTCGAACATCTCGTTGTCCACGAAAATTAGCTTCTCCTCCCAGCTGATATCCCCCCTCTCACCTTTGATAACCATCACTTCACACAAGCTTTGTTCATCCTCCATGGCCATGCTTCCTCCTTATCACGCGGCTGATCAGCAGCAGTATGGTGGACAAGGACCATATATTTATGCTGGTCAGCAGTATGCTGCGCCATACCATCCTGCTTTGCAGCAGCAGCAGTGGCTTGCACCACCTCAAATGTTTGGCCCTGCAGTGTTGCCATATGCTCAGCCGCCTATGTTTGGCGGCTATCAGCAACCCTCATCACTACCTCAACAACAACAACAAACTGTGCTTACCGACGTGAACGCACAGTATCTTTGCCCAAGGGGAAGCGCCCTTTTGGTTGGCAAGTAGGTGCTACTACCCCGATTATCACCACCACCTCCACCTCCACCATCATCATCATCAATCCCTTCTCTTGCTGCAGCTGTCACTTCCATCTTTTTCACGGAACGAAGATTAGCCATACTAACCTCTCTCGAAATCCAGCCTGAGGAATGAGATTCCTCCAGCCAAGTTGTCCGCAGACCTCAAGGCGACGTTCAAGGGACGGTGGTCAGCCGATTGCTGGGTGAAGATCGTCCATTTCAAGAGGCGCCCCAATGGCAACCCAGGTGGCCAATATATCGCATTCGTCACCTTCCAGGTAGGTTTCTGGTCCTTTCTGGAGAGTCAAGTCAGCCATCGACCTATTTTAGGTTTGCATAGCAGGAGTCAGAGTCACATTACTAACCTTGGGTGGCTTGCATGCAGACCGTCCAGCAAGCACAACAGATCTTGACGGCCGTGCAGGCGAATTACCAACCGATAGTCCTGCATGGTATGGTTCTGCGGCTTGAAGAGGCCAGGGGAGAAGGTGCGTAGCTTCATTCCTTTGCTTTTCAAACAAACAACATTCCATCCCTCTTGTTTCATTCATTGGGTCTATCTTGCTTCGCTTCGATCATCTGACAAGCTCGACCCTTTCATCCGTCCATCGATGCTGATATCTGTTCTGGATTATATAGGCGTCCACCCAGAGCCCATGGTCAATGTGGGCAAAGGCCTGGCCTCCCATTAGTCAGGCATCTCACCGCCTTCGGCCGCTCTTTGATACCTAGATAGTAGTTCCTCAGATACTAGGTAGCTGAAATCCATGTGGCCGTCACCGATCCATTCACTGATAGTATTTAACCATTGTTCCGTTCCTGCCTAGAGTGTCACCTGCGTCTTTAGTGCATATAGTCTACCGTATTATGGTCTATAGCCATTCCAGTCCTCATGGACTTTCTCCTCAATACAACTATCTTCCACTTCATGAAAGAACTGATCATTTATATCAATCCATTTGTCTTTTATGCTTCCTCACAATGGACCCCCAGTTAATAGACCCCCAGTCAACAGCCCTCCAGTCAACAGCCCTCCAGTCAATGGATCCCCAGTCAATGGACCTCAAGTCAATGGACCTCCAGCCTATGGGCACATAGCCAACGCGCACCCAGCCAACACGTACACAGCCAACACGCACACAGCCAACGGAACCGTCAACGGGCAAGCTGTCAACGGGCATACGGTACTGGTAGTCGATGGGAGCCGAGCCAAAGGGCGCCACCCCGTCTTCATCTGAAGAATCGGCTCAGCAGAGTGAGGCCAACCCACCTGCATCTGAATAAACGCGATCCGCTCTGTGTCGCCTCTGTCTGCTTGCCTGCCTGCACGCCATGGTGTTCCAGTGGAGTTCCTCTTCCATTCACCTTTGTTTTGTTATAGCTTTATCACTTATATCGTCCTGCTCAACCATGTCGATGTCCATCTGGCAAGTTTTGGTGTTCAGCATGTTTGGTGACTGCCCTATGTTTGGCATCGTTTTGGGTCGGTTTTCTTTGGGACATGGCTCTTTTTTTCGGATTTCCTGTTGCGTTGCTAATGTATTCTTGAGATTCTGGTTGTCAACTCTTGATCTTGCAATTTGGCTTCCTGTGTGGTGTTGTTCCGGTTGTCCGGCTAGTGAATGAAGTGAGTGAGCTTGGTTGGAGCCTGTCGGCATATCTAAGTAATACGGCCACGTGGTGCAACGCGGTTATCAGGCTGCTTCCCATGTTGATAATCCAGTCAGTTCCAACCACCAAGAAAACTGAGAACACGTTCCATACACCTTACCTCTGAGGCTTCACAATCGCTGACAGAGCCTTTCCCCTCTGTGTCTACTGTAGATGTAAATGTAGTCTGATCACTCGTAGAGGAGAATGAGAAGTACAAAAAATGATGAGCGATGAGATGATATCATTTTTTTTTGTATTTTTCTCGCCAAAAGTAGAGAGGGATTTGTGGGAAAGAAAATTTAGGAAGGGCGAAGTGAGGTCAAAATTGGTCTGGATTTGGTCACACAACAGCCAGCGTTAGTCAGCGTGGCCATGTGGTTCCTACAAATATATATATATGGTGGGTATCGATGAGGAATGTGATACAATCATTACTGCCGAGTATTACAGGCGGTTTTTTTGAGGTGATGTATGTACACATACGCACTTATGGCACTGTACACACAAGTAGGATCTGACGTTGTGCATGATTTACTTCCGTTGCAGCAGCGCAGCCCACATCTCCGTTCCCGAGCATGTCTCCAGGACAAGCCGCAATCATTGGACGGCGCCACCCATTCTCATCCTCCTCGCCTTCTCGACCAATTGCTCCAAGATCATCTGCCTTACTGAGACTGTCAACCGACACCCAGTCTGCAGCAGCCGCCTGACACCCCCCGTCCTCTCGTCTCGAGCGCCGAGGTTTCTGAAATTGATGCGCGTCAGATCGACACACATCCGCCACACGCTCTGCAAGACCTCTTCCCACGACTCCCCCGTCGCCCTCGTAGTCAACATTAGATCCCTCAGCTCCAGCGTCTCCAGGCCCCGCACGGCCATCTTCCGGATACACGTCCGCAGAATCTCGGCCGTGGACTCGATCTTCCGGACGGAAAACACCCGGATCCGCGCGGAGGCCAGCCGCGCCGTCGATAGAGCCTCGAGGGTGTTCCCTGTGGGATGCTCGCGGCCTCTGCCAACGATACGCAGTTCCTCTAGCGCCGGGGTGCCCTCCAGCAGCTCCCAGACGATCGACGTACCGCGGTATTCCCGGAAGTAGTCGTCGTGCAGGTAAAGCACGCGCAGGCCGCGCAGCACCTCGGGGTACAGCGTGGGGACGGTCCAGTTGGGGAGCTGAAGGACCTGGTACGGGGTCGTGGTGGGCTGCTCCAGGATTGGAGCGGAGCGCAACGAGGTGTGTATCTTGAGTCGCTCGAGGGGGATCCCCGCATCGTTGAAGATAGTGAACATAACGCGCACCACGTCGCCGGCGTGGATGCAGTCCACGGGCCAGTCGGCGGGCTCGTCCAGGTGGAACTCGAAGTCCCGGCACTCGGTGAACGCGGTGACGAGATCACAGCGCAGCGCCCACAGTTCCGGCAGGGCAAGGGGGTCCTCGATCTCGCTGGACAGCGCCAGTCTGTTGAAGGGGGAGTTAGGCCCCGTGTACGGATACCGAATCACCAGTCTCTTGACCAGTGCCGCCAGCGGGTTGCCCCTCGGCCGGGCCAGATCGCAGTGTATGCGCAGGAGGCTGTGGTACGACAGGTTCGTCTCGACGGTCTCGAGATACCGCGCGAAGATCGCCTCCGTCATAGGCTCCACCAAGTAGTGCATTCTCCGAGAGACCTGACGGAGAGAGAGAAAGGTCGCCTCGTCCAGGTACCTCGTAATGTGCGGGAAATGCTTGGTAGGCATCGACCCGAGATTGACAGGAGACATGGCTGGCTTTTTGGAACTTGATGGGCGGGAAAGAGGCGAGGAGATAGATATAGAAGAGCTTCAGGAGGGCATAAACAAGGTTGACATTCGACGCTGGGAATTGGAGATAGGCCAGGGTGCACTCACTTTAAGTACTCTGTATTTCCTCAAGAGGGTCCCTCTTGTGGTAGTTCTCTCAGCAAGATCATCTCAAATAGCTGGAGCATTCCTGCTAATAGGTGATATTCTTTGTTTGTGCTGGCTGTCTCTTCGCCTGTGCCAAAGTAACCTCTCCAACTGGCTCAGATAGCTTTGAACAAAGAGCATTGTCCTCCTCTGCGGCAGCTCTAAGGGCAGATTAACTACCCGTGCTGTGAACAATCACTTGTGTCCTAAGGCTTTATTGTTGAACACGTCAGGAGACAATGCATGCCACTTTCAAGCTTTCTTTTGGAACAACGAACTGCCTATCACACAGGTCAGTCAGATATCTCCACCAGTCAATTAGACTATACCTGACTCCCTTGAAATCATGGATAAAGTAGACTTCGATCCTAATCTCATGTGACCCAAGGGCAATAGCGATTGAACTTACTTAAATGCCAATGACTTATCTTCTCGGTCCCGTACTGAACAGCTGTACATTATGATACGCGGCCGTAGGGTCGTGCATTCGAAGCTCACATCGTGCTTATGATGCCTCCACTACTCAATATTATCGCAGATTGTCTTAATAAGTCGTGAAAATAGAATCCATGTTCATCTCATCGGGTCTATAGGGTTGCCTCTACCTCATCCAGAACGGTGACCTTGATACTGCCGTTGCGCGGATCAGCACATAACTCAAGTGCCTCCACCGCTCTCTCCAATGGAAATGTATGCGACACAAGCTTTTTCAGGTCAAGGATTCCTCCACTGAGACAAGCAATAGCAGGAGGCCAGGTATCGCGATAACGATTGATGAATCGCAGATCGATCTATCCAGTCGTCATTTGTTAGCCACGGTACGAAGAAGGAAGAACTGGGCTCAGATACTGACCTCGGCTAAGGAAATATGCATGAACGGAAGATTGTTCATAACCGATTTTCCCACCCCAATGACGACCACAGCGCCGCCTCTGCGGGCTGTGAACGCCGCCGTACACACGCTGCTCTCTACTCCGGTGCATTCAAGGACCGTCTCGGGAGCATTATACTCCCTCGACCCGAACAATGTTCTGATTGCCTTGGCATTACCCTCCGCACCCAATGAGCCGTTCACCTGGTATGTAATGCAGCTGGGGACAAACTCTTTGGCGAATGCGAGTCGCTTGGGCTCGATATCCGTGATGACAATAGGATGGGCCCCAGAAGCACGAGCTGCAGCGAGCGCAATCAGCCCAATGGGACCTGCGCCACAGACAACTACTCCACGACCTAGTTGGAGACGGGCCACTTGGATCCCCCGCATGACGACGGAAAGTGGCTCTAGCAGAGCACCTTCAGCGAACGAAATGTTGTCCGGAAGTCTATATTTTGTCTTAGATACCAGCTCTCA